TAAGTTGTGGGTGAACATATCAGACGACACAGCAATTCTTCTCAAACAGGCCAGAACAGAACTGAACTGAAGGGTTCAGCCAGCCTGCTTATATAGAGTTCCACTAGAACGCAACAGTAACAACTTTCTGTAACTATCCAATCACTGACACCACTTTCAATCCCCTTATTTGCATATGTGGACCTGAGTGAAAACTATCTACAGTATCCCCCTGCTGTCCCAGGGTGAGAACTTCAGTACATAACACTCTCCCAGGTAGAAAGTGTGCCACCCAGATATGCCCCCCTCCTACAAATATTTCACTTGGTGATATTAAACAGGGGCAACAGGAAGAGCTCAACTCTCCCCCTAGCCGCAGACCCAGAATCCTGAGCCCAGTGAACAGCTTCTTCGGTATAAAAAATTATAATAATAATTTTTTATTTATACCCTGCCCATCTGGCTGGGTTTCCCCAGCCACTCTGGGCGGCTTCCAACCGAATCTTAAAAACAATACAGCGTCAGACATTAAAAACTTCCCTAAACAGGGCCGCCTTCAGTTGTCTTTTAAAAGTAAAATGCAGTGGTACCTCTGGATGCGAACAGGATCCGTTCCGGAGCCCTGTTCGCATCCTGAAACAAATGCAAGCCGCATCCGCGGATCGAGATTCGCCGCTTCTGCGCATGCGCGTGACGTCATTTTGAGTGTTTGCGTGAGCGGCGAAACCCAGAAGTAACGAACTCTGTTACTTCTGGGTCGCCGCAGAGCGTAACCTGAAAACGCTCAACTTGAAGCACATTTAACCTGAGGTATGACTGTAGTTGTTTATTGCCCTGACATCTGCTGGGAGGGTGTTCCACAGGGCAGGGGCCACTACCAAGAAGGCCCTCTGCCTGGTTTCCTGTAACCTCACTTCTCGCAGCGAGGGAACCACCAGAAGGCCCTCGGCGCTGGACCTCAGTGTCCGGTAGAACGATGGGGGTGGAGATGCTCCTTCAGGTATACTGGACCGAGGCTGTTTAGGGCTTTAAAGGTCAGCACCAACACTTTGAATTGTGCTCGGAAACGTACTGGGAGCCAATAAAATGGCAAAATACCACTTTGCTCTTTCGTTGACAGCTCCTTGCAATGATGAAGCACGCGGACCTGCATTTTCTAATTGGAATTATTCTTTCTCCTGCGGTAAGTATTCCCCAGTGCTTCAGTCCTCAGCATCTCTGGTTAGGGCTTGGAGAGATGCCTGACCAGTCAGAACCCGGGAGAGCTGCTATTAGTCAGTGTAGACAATACCTGAGCTATGTGGCAGCTTCCTCTGCGATTCCTATATGTCCTAATGATCAAGCAAGGGGAAGCGGGTGGCACTGTGGTCTAAACTTAAGGTAGGCAAACTAAGGCCCGGGGGCGGATCTGGACCAATCGCCTTCTAAATCCAGCCCACGGACAGTCAGCGTATTTTTACATGAGTAGAATGTGTCCTTTTATTTAAAAGGGTGTTTTTTTGTGGGGCATAGGAATGCATTCATTTTTTTCCTTTCCAAAATATAGTCCGGCCCCCACAAGGTCTGAGGGACAATGGACCGGCCTCCCCTGGTAAACCATTGAGCCTCTTATGCTTGTCGATCGGAAGGTTGGTTGTTCGAATCCCCGCGACGGGGTGAGCTCCTGTTGCTGTCCCTGCTCCTGCCAACCCAGCAGTTCGAAAGCACACCAGTGCAAGTAGATAAATAGGTACCGCTGCGGCGGAAAGGCAAACGGCGTTTCCATGTGCTCTGGTTTCCGTCACGGTGTTCCGTTGCGCCAGAAGCAGTTTAGTCCTGCTGGCCACATGACCCGGAAAGCTGTCTGTGGACAAACCTTGGTTCCCTCGGCCTGAAAGCGAGATGAGCGCCGCAACCCCATAGTCGCCTTTGACAGGACTTAACCATCCAGGGGTCCTTTACTTTTACCTTTACCGATTCAAAGCCTGTAGTATGCTTACTTGCAAGTAGGACTCTGAGATGGGTGATTGGACGTTATGCCAGTTGGTGCTGAAACTTTTTCTCTGAGCCACACTATCAGAATAAAAATTTGCTCTCGCCACACTGATTTTTTTAATCCACCTGTCAATAAACCTCACTCATTCTTTTATTGTCCTATTGAAAACAGGACAGCATCTTCCTGAGGGCAGCAGACTGATTTAGGGGGTGTAGGGCAGGCTGCAAGGTACATGTGCCCACCTCCTCCAGCATTTACTGACTGTGGGTTCTGCTTCACACTGCCTAATGGTAGGGCCGGTGTTGGTAGGAAATCGTTAAAAGTCCTTAACAGGAACAGCAGGCTACGCTGTTATTAATTAGATGATTAATAAGATTATTAATAAGATGATAATGTATACAGTCACACCTCGGATCTCAAACGCCTTGGCTCCTGAACAAATTGGCTCCCGAATGATCGAAACCTGGATATCAGTGTTCCAGTTTTCGAACGATTTTCAGAAGCCGAACGTCTGACGGGCCTTCCGCGGCCAATCAGAAGCTTGTTTGGGTTTCCGAACATTTTGGAAGTTTAACAGGCTTCTGGAACGGATTCTGTTTGACTTTCAAAGTACGACTGTATCTGCAAAGAAAGGGGTCTTCCTTTCGAAACGAAAAATTAGCTACAGGTTTTTTGTTTTTGCTTACTGAACTTCTCTGAAAAGGGTAGATCCAGATTAAATGGATTAAAAGACGCGTCAAAGAGCCTTATCTCCTTACATTTAATTGGTAAAAAAAAAAAGGCTCAGCCATCTCTCCAGCCTAAGATATTCCAAAATCCCTTGGGCAGGATGGCCAAGTTCTGAAAACCCCCCCCCCCCCGGGGAAACCCGGAAAAGGGGGGGCGGGAAACAGGGGAAAAAAGTTTTCCCCCCCCATTATGTTTTTGAAATTTTTATCTTTCTACTCGCCGTCTGGCCAGTGACAACCACCTTGCTTGGCCCAAAGTGAGATCGTCTCTCTAGAACCCTTTCTCCACCTCAAAAAGAGATCACAATGCAGGAATGAACAGGACTGTCACTAGACATTTAGAGCTATATTACTTGTTATTCCCAAATTAATGCTGCAGCACTATTTTTAAGGTTCTCCACTATATCCTGCTAAAATGAACTTCTATTGAAGTTAAATGATTTAGATGGCAATCGAACGTGATAGGTGTGTGAGCGAGGTTTATAGCATATTGCAAGACTTGGGTAGTAACTGAACCATCGGAGTTCTCGAGGAATTGTGTCAAGAGATGGTTTGAACCAGAATTATGGAACTGCAGCTCTTGTAATTACCTGTATTTACGAAATTTCGGTGAACTTGAATGCATTGCCTAAAATAATGGCAGGTAGAAGAATGGGGCACCCTGGATGGAAGGATGGAGATAGCTAGCACCTTTAATCTTCATAGAGATCATGAGCGTACATAGATAGTGATAACAGAAAGCAACAACTAGTTCGGAGGATGCTTTGGCCGACAAGGACGCCTCTGTCAAAGCACTCCCTTCTAGTAAAGTCAACAGGTGTGGCTTACCTCTCTGACTCAGCAAACCCTGCTGTTAGGAGACCAGAAGTTAATGTATCAACCTCGGGAGAGCGAACCGTAACCTTTTCCTCACTTCAAATCTTAAGAAAGGGATCTCTGGCCAATGGCAGGAGAGGACATGCCACAGGTAAAAGTGATAGTGGCAATGAGTAAACGCCAACGGAAAGAAGAGAGGTATATTCTTCGTGGTAAGCAGGCATGCACATGGGTGCAATCACGTCACTTCCCAGCATTTGTGACTGGTGGATATTCTCTTGTGCCAACAGGCCTTCCCTCCCAATGTAAATAGCAGCTGGAGGGGGGGGATTTTTGGATGCAGTGGGAGTGTGTGCGTGTAGTATTCCCCTCCCAGTGGTCCATATGCTGCCCTGCTCCAGTGGCTGCTGTTTACATTTTTAAACAATGCACATTTTAATTGCATAACACAATGCCCCAACGAGTTTGGCCCAATGTAAATTGGCCCAAGGTAAACATAACTCCAGTGAAGA